TTTGAATTTAAATGGGTTAAATGTCCCACTTAAAAGACATAGAGTGGCAAGGTGGATAAAAATATAAGATGCAACTATCTGTAATCTTCAAGAAAATTTATATATTGACACCCCCATGTCCAAAATATAAGTATGGAGTAAGATCTGCCATGTAAATGGAAAACAAAAATAGCAGGAGCCACTATTCTTAAATAATATGAAACGTATTTTAGAATAATAAAAATTAAAGATGGACAAAAAAAGGAACGTTCCATAATGTAAAGGGTACAATCCAACAGGAACACTTTTATTTAACTAGCCTAAATACTTAAATTTCTATGCACCCAACACTGGCACATCCAGATTCATAAAACAAATATTCTTGGCCTATAAAAATACTTAGATAACCACAAATATCAGTGAGTGGGAGATTTCAACAAACCACTGGTAGTGCCAGATATATCATTGAGGCAGAAAACTGACAAAGAAATTCTGGACTTAGATTTGACACCTGAGCAAATAGACGTAGTAGATGTCGACAGAATACTCCTCTCGACATCCACAGAATATGCGTTCTTCTCATCTCCGCATAGAATATATTCTAAGACTGACCACTTTCTTGTTCATAAAAAGTCTCAACAAATTCAAAACAATTTGAATCACAGCTAGCACACTCTCAAACCACCGTGCATTAAAACTATAAATGAATATCAGCTGGGCGCGGTGGCTCACGCCTGTAGTCCCAGCACTTCAGGAGGCCGAGGCGGGCGGATTATGAGGTCAGGAGATCGAGACCATCCTGGCTAACACAGTGAAACCCCGTCTGTACTAAAGAATACAAAAAATTAGCCGGGTGTAGTGGCGGGCGCCTATAGTCGCACCTACTCAGGAGGCTGAAGCAGGAGAATGGTGTGAACCCAGTAGGCGGAGGTTGCAGTGAGCCGAGATTGCGCCACTGCACTCCAGCCTGGGCAACAGAGCAAGACTGTCTCAAATATATATATATGTGTGTGTGTGTGTGTGTGTGTATAAATGAATATATATGATGTATATATAAATATACATCATATATATTTATATAATGAATACATATAAATATATATAAATGAACATCAAGAGGATCTCTCAACAGTACACTATATATATAATATAATATATATAAATGAATATCAAGAAGATCTCTCAAAAGTACACAAATTCATGAAAATTAAAACATTTCCTCTTGAATAACTCATGGATGAACCTTGAAATTAAAGCAGAAATCAAAAAAATTATTTGAATTAATAGAGACATAACCTACCAAAACCTCTGCAATACAGCTAAAGCAGTGTTAAGAGGAAAGTTTATAGCCCTAAAATACCTTGATTGAGAGTTAGAAATATCTCAAATTAGTAATTTAATTTTGTACCTATAAGAACTAGGAAAAAAAAAGAACAAAACAACCTAAGAGCTAGCAGAATAAAATAAATAACTAAAATTAAGGAAGAAATGAATGAAATTGAGATGCAAAAATCTATAGAAAAGATCAGTAATACCATGAGTTGTTTTTTCAAAAAATAAACAAGATTAAAAGACACCTACATAGACTCACAAAAAAGAGAAGATCCAAATAAGTACAATCATACATGATAAACATGACATTATAACTGATGCCACAGAAATACAAAAGATCCTTGGAATAGTGTGAATAACTCTAGGCATACATAATAGAAAACTTAGAGAAAATGGGTAATTTCCAGAAACAGCCTCCCAAGATTTAATCAGAAAGGGATTCAGACACTGAGTAGACCAATATTGAGCTCTGAAATTGAATCAGTAATAAAAATTCTACCAACCAAAAAAAGTCCTGAACCAGGTGAATTCACACCTGAATTCTGCCAGATGTACGAAGAACCGTTACCAATCCTACTGAAAATATTCCAAAAAACTGTGGAGGAGTGGCTTTTCTGTTATTCTTTCTATGAAGCCAGCATCAGTGCAATACCAAAATCTGGCAGACACAACAACAGCAAAAAAGAAAACTTCAGGCCAATATTCCTGAAGAACACAAGCACAAAAATTTGTAGCAAAACACTAGCACACTGAATGTAGTATATGAAAGAGTAAACATACTACAATAAAGCAGGATTTATTCCTAGGATGCAAGGCTGGTAAAACATATATAAATCAATAAATATTTACCATCTAAACCAAATGAAAAACAAAAACTGTATGATCATCTCAATAGATGCAAAGAAAGCTTTCAATGATATCCAACATCCATTCATAATAATAATAATAAAAAAAACTTGAGTGAATAGAAATGGAAGATCGTGTCTAAAAATAATAATATCTATTTATGACAAACCCACAGACAACATCATACTGAAAGGATAAACAGTGGAATTATTTTCTTTGGGAACTGGAACAAGACAAGGATGCCCCTCTCACCACTCCTATTCAACATGCTCCTTGAATTACTAACCATAGAAATCAGATAACAGAAAGAAATAGAAGGCACCCAGAGAGGAATGGAAGAAGTCAAACTATTTATTTTCACCAGTTATATGATTCTATACCTAGAAAATCCTGAGAACTTTCCCAAAAGGCTACTAGAACTGATAAATAATGTGAGGTTTCAGGATGCAAAATCAATGTATAAAAGCCAGTAGCATTTCTATACGCCAACAACATCCAAGCTGAGGATCAAATCAAGAACACAATCCTACTTACAATAACCACAAAGACAATGAAATACCTAGAGATACTGTTAACCAAGGAAGTGAAAGATCTCTACAAGGTGATCTACAACACACTGCAGAAAGAAATCCGAGATGGCAACAGTAAATGGGAAAACATCCCATGCTCATGGATTTGAAGAATCAGCATCATTAACATTGCTGTATTAGTGTGTTTGTGTGTTTCTGATAAAGACATATCCAAGACTGGGTAATTTATAAAGAAAAACAAGTTTGTTTAATGGACTCACAGTTCCATGTGGCTGAGGAGGTCTCATGGCACAAGGCGAAAGACACTTCTTACATGGTGACAAGATGAAACTAGAGAAGGTAAAGTAAAGAACAGATTCTCTCCCATAGGTTCTGGAGGGAACTTGTTGATTTTGAACACCTGGCTACTCGAACTATGTAAAATAAATTTCTGTTTTTTGAAACCATCCAAGTTGTGATAATTGCTATAAAAACTTCAGAGAACTAATCCATTCCTTGTCATGTTCTATAGATGTTGTATTTGAGCATAGAGACGTTGGAATCTTTCCACAGCTTAAAATGTAGTAAGGGTGGAAGGAGTAGGCATTGCAGAATGATACTGTTATGAAGTGAAAGGAATTATGTTAATGTAGTGATTTCTGCATTTGCAAATGCAGGCAATTTTTTAACTATTCAGTAAAGCATGAATTACCTAATACACTGGTTTAGTGCATTTGATTGGTTTAGTCTGTGCATAAGAGTAGATAGGTCCTGATATAATGCCCTCCAGGCACATATTGGAAAATAAAATTGGTCATCTTAGCAGGCTAAATGGTGCTCTCCTCCAAAAAAAAAAAAAAAAAAGTCTTTATTAGAGTCTCAGAAAATATCACATACCATGACAGAAGGGTGACTACTACCTTATATAACAAAAGATGTGATTAAATTTTGTCTTTTGACAGTAAGAGCTTTTTCTGGATTCTTTTGGTGGGGTATAAGTGCAATCACAGATATCCTTATGAGAGAGAGGCAGAGAGGCAGAGCAGAGGAAGTTTAGAGAAGACACACAGAAGGGAAGGGAATGTACAGATGGAGGCAGAGGTTGCAGTGATATACGTACAAGTTGAGGAAGGCCACTCTGGCAGCTACCAAAAACTGGAAGAGGCAGGGAATGGAGTCTCTTCAGGTCACCTAAAGGAACACAGTCCTGCCAGATTTTGGACTGTGAACATCTGGACTCTGTGAGAGGATATATTTATATTGATTTAATCCACCTAGTATGGGATAAATGATTATAGCAACCACAGGAAACTGATACATTCATAAAAAAGAGAAGGCAGCAGTTTAACCAGAAAAGCTGGATATTATTTGGTGTATAAAATGACAAAGAGGGGCTAGTGCAAATAAATTTCTAATGCAGGCTATTACAAAAATTATGAATACTCATCACTTTGATGACTAATTTAACCACAAAAACATAATATTTTGGAGTGTATTCACACTATGCCAAATTGTATATTCTATATCCTATAGTAGAAACATTTATTCAGCCAAGAAATATAAAATAAAACTCTATAATATTTATAAATACTGTTTTAACTCAGAGCAAGCATATTTAAAGTAAATTACCCATGTGAAAATGCAAAACTACAGTTAAACAGTCCCTAAAGTTAATGTGTCCTGAAGAAAGAGAAGACCTTTTTAGTCTACTTAGTAAGGCAATCTAAGAACATCCTGGTTGCTTTATTTTTTATTATATACATTTTCATTTTCTTAAACAAACTTTATAATTTTTATTTTAACAAACATGGAATAGAAAGTAAAGAAAATTTAACTTATTCATTGCTTCTACCATTGAATAATTAGATTTTTAAAATCAATATTACCTCAAATAATATGATAAACTCAAGTGATAAATCTATACTTCTACTTTTTTTATATTAGCTCCAAAGGGCAAATAAGCTGATGATTTCAAACATGTTCTATTGCATTTTCTACAAAACAGCATCTTAGAGAAATATGGAGTATACTGTAAACTCTTTTACTTTAAGATTATTGCTACAATTTGGTTAATTTAATAGGTATAAAATATTGGCCTTCTGTATTAATTCGTGTGTAATTACCATTCAGTTAAAACCTAAGAAATTTAAGTAGCAAAGTCAATCACAAAATATTTTTGATGAAAAAAATTAACTACAAGTTATAAATACAAATATTTATAGCTTATAAATATTTTACAATGTTTGCTGCGGCTTCTGAATATATTACATAGGCAGCATAGTCTTTCCTTTACTCAAGAATAATTTATTTATTTATTTATTTGTTTATTTTTTTTCATAAATTGATATTTATTGGCATCTGAAAAAGAGGTGCCTCAGCCTTCAAGGCTGGAACAGAAGTTGGGGAGGAGCTGCTGTCCCTGGGCTCAATACCAATAGACCTTCTTGTATTTCCGAGTCTCCTTGATCCCCATGGCCTCCATCACCTCCTCCTGTAGTGTCTTTAGACGGGGCACGTAGGTTCTTTCTAAAGCATCCTCCACTGATGTGTCTTTGGGGCCATCAATCCATGTTTCAGGGACGATGCCATCAGCTCTGGGAAATTCGGGTTTAGGGATAATTCTCCCCGATCGTGTGGAGACTCGTACCCGCTCTCCTGCTTCAGTATATCTCCACTCAATCTCAGTGGGTTTCCTGTCCATAGGATCCACAAGTTTGACCTGGCGGTGGAGCAAGGGGGCTTCACTAGGGATCATGGTTCCTCGGTAATCCATGGTCTTGCCAATGTAGCGGTAATATGTGTTCAGCCCTCCCACGACCACGCAGTTTTGCTGCCGGATAACTTGAACCACTTTGCCCTGCTTTCCGGCATCCTTGCCTTCTAGGATCTCCACCGTGTCCCCACAGAACAGATACCAGTCTTCATCAGAGATGGGTTCCACAACCACTGGGCGCCGCCTGCTCCATGGGGCGTTCTTCCTCTTGTCTGCCAAGGAGCCTGGGGGGCTCATCCCATAGCAGTAATTGGGGGGCAGAGTGACCTTGGATGCCAAGGCCAGCAGGGCAGAAAGGCGCATGCCTGGAGGCTGTAAGAAATCCCTTTGCCAGCAAAATGCTCAGAAATCTTCCTTGTCAGCTCTCCACTTTCCGCGGCACTTCGGCTGCTCAGCACATAAGAATAATTTAAATTGAAGAGATCCTTATCACAAAGCTGACATGATCAAAATAAACCAATAATAATCTCAGTTTCAACAAAAGAACAAGGGTGCTTTGGATAAAAAGCTCTGAAAATATGGCTGATGATTTATTCTCTCTGGTTTATGTTTCTTACATTAGAACCATTTTTTTGGTTTATGCTCTTCCATCTCTAGCTGGAATATTATATTACATTATCAGAATATGAGTATATCTTAGTATATGATGTTTACTCATAACTGTAGTAAATTCTAGGTAAAAGTTTCAATAATAGCAGTTTCACCGAAGATTTCAATTCTTATCGTTAAGCTAGACTTTATGTTAGATATCCATTTCTATTCATAAAAAAGCCTAATACCAATGCATCAAGACTTTCTTTAAAGCTTTGCTATATTCTATAACACAGTGAAACTACTTCATCTGAAGAATATTCTTTATTATGAATAATACATGCTGAAGAAAAAAACATGCTTAACTAAATTGAAGTCTTTCTTTTTCATGATCAGCTGCTATAAAACAAGTCTGTAATGATAAGAGAAGTCAACTAACTTGTGCAAATATTTGCAAGTCATATTTTCAAAACCTACCTAGAAAACATTTTGATTTCTAAACTTACATGCTATGGAATCTTTACTTTCACAAACATAGCTGTTAGAAATATAGCAAATTCCCCCACACATAGCATTCCATGAATGTATTATATGTGTGCGTGTGTGTAGATACAAATTTAAGATTAAAAAAAAAAACCATTTTCTTCATTCAAGAACAGAAACAGTACTTTTGATAACACTATGCCAATTTCTAATAAAAATGTGGTCTTTTGATATATAACACAGATATATTCAACCTGCTGAATCATGTGGCATCTGAAAATACAAAGCATTATTTATTTGGTTACTAATTCAGAATCACCTTGTGTGTGAGCAGATGTTTGTTACTTTATGCCAAGCAATTAAAAGATATTGGTACAACTGAGTTTTGCATTTGAATGAAAAGATGAACAAAATGGTTGTTAAGACTTATCACACTTGAAAATTGTTTATTGGCACCAACAATCTTCATAAAACAAAGTTATTCAAACACATCCATCAACATCAAACACAAACAGATTATTAAAAATTCATAAATAAAGCCCAAATACGAAAAAAGACACTTCTTTATATTGCTAAACAATCAGAAGTATGATATATACAAATGAATGTCCTAGTTGTGGTCAACTACTACAAGCATTATAGTATGAGAGAGATTCCAAGAGCATCATGTCAGTTGATATTAGTATCAGTTTCCTAATATGTCTTCACTAGTCACATGCGCATTTAATCGTTTTAGACGTAAATCGTTTTAGACATGCGACTAGTGCATGCAGACATAGCTTGCTTTTAAGACATTCAATCAATTTTATCATTTTTCTCTTCTTAAAGGAACAGTAAGCAACAACAATATTAAAGTCAAGAGAACAAAGAGATTTATGTTGAAGAAATCTTTATATTCTATATATTCTATATAACTACAATACAGTGTAAATGTATGCATGAATTAGTTTTTTGCAATTAAACAAATTGCAGACTAAAAAACTAAACTTAGTTTTGAATATTATTTTCATTTGTCCCAGGACACTTTAATTCAGCACGGAAATTCAGTACATATTCTAATTATTTCAAGATACACAAACACATATACACAGATAAACACACGTGTGTATGTATTGTATGCATGCATATATAGTATATATAAATTAAGTATTTTGGCCAGGCATGGTGGCTCATGCCTGTAATCCCAGCACTTTGGGAAGCCGAGACCGTCGGAAAACCTGAGGTGGGGAGTTCGAGACCAGCCTGACCAACATGGAGAAACCATGTCTCTGCTAAAAATACAAAATTAGCTGGGTGTGGTGGCGCATTCCTGCAATTCCAGCTACTTGGGAGACTGAGGCAGAAGAATCACTTGAACCCAGGAGGCAGAGTGAGTCAAGATCCTGCTATTGCACTCCAGCCTGGGCAACAAGAGCGAAACTCCTTCTCAAAAACAAACAAACAAACAAATAAATAAATAAATAAATAAATAAATAAATAAATAAATGTTTTAGTCAAATTAATGTCAATATTCTTATAATTTCTATTCATTTATTTATTATATAAACATGTCTATTGATTGCCTCTTAAATGTCAGGCACTAGTGTGATTTCTACAAATAAAGTTTCCATGGTGGTTTTAAAATAGGGGGTGGGGAGACAGGAAACAAATATTTGATATAAAATCAGGTAATGAAAATGAAAATGAAATTAAAGTATCATAAGAAAAGCTAGAGTAGTGGCAAGAGGTGGAGCATTTTTTTTTTTTTTTTTTTTTCAATAGGATGGTCAAAAGCTACTTGCTGAAGGGAACTTTAAGTGGAAATATAACAGCTAAAAGAAAGTTAGCAATGGTATTACACAGGGGAAGTGCCTTCAGGATAAAGATCAACAATTGCGAATACCTGAATCTGCACATTTCTGCAGATTTTTTATTTGCATGACATTGACATTGCAGACTTTTACTGCATGACATTTTAGTTAGTTATCACGTAGTATACAATTCCCCTTAAAATGTACAACTGAATATTATGTAGCATATATGTAGCATATTATGTAGCAATATATGTAGCATATTCACAGAGATGTGCAATCACCACATTCACTTTTAGAACAATTTTATGACATTAAAAAAAAATATTCCAGACCTAATTAGCAGTTATTCCCCATTTTACCCCAATTCTGCAACAACTAGACAGACAGTAATCTAATTTGTTTCTATGGATTTGTCTATACATTTCATAAATTTCATATAAATGAAATTGAGCATTATGTGATCTTTTATACCTGGCTTCTTTCACTTAGCATGAAGTTTTTGAGGTTCATCTATGTTATATCATTAACAATGCTCACACCTTTTTATGGCTGAATGGTATTTTCTTGTATGGATATACCATATTTTTCCATCAATTTATCAGTTGCTAAAAATTGGATTGTTGATAGTAATTGGCTACTATAAGCAATGATACTCTGATCATTGTATACAAGTTTTTTTGTGGATATATGTTTTATTTATATTTGCTATATGTATTAGTCCATTTTCACACCGCTGTAACGAACTACGTGACACTGGGTAAGTTATAAAGAAAAGTGGTTTAATTGAGTCACAGTTCCACATGGTGGGAGACTTCAGGACACCTATAGCGTAAGGTGAAGGGGAAGAAGGCATGTGTTACATTGTGGCAGGAGACAGACAGAGAGCCATGGGGGAAGTGCCACACTTTAAAACTATCAGCTCTCATGAGAACTCACTATCATGAGAACAGCATGGGAGAAATCCACCCTCATGATCCAATCAATCACCTCCCACCAGGTACCTCACCTTACACATGGGGATTACAATTCGTGATGAGATTTGGGTGGGGACACAGAACCGAATCATATCAGTGTATATCTAAGTGAAATTTCTAGATGGTATATCATCTCTATGTTTAACCTTTGGAGGAACTACCAACACTTTTCCAAAGTGAATAAACTCTTTTTCATTCCCACCAGCAATGCAGGAGAGCTCCATTTTCTCCACATCCAAACTCTTTTTCATTCCCACCAGCAATGTAGGAGAGCTCCATTTTCTCCACATCCACACAAACACTTTTTATTATTTTTTATTACAGCCATCTGAATAAGTATTAAATAGCATTTCATTGTGGTTTTGATTTGCATTTCCCTACTTAATTATGCTGTGACTATTTTAATATGCTTATTGGTAACTTGTATATCTTTTTTGGAAAAAAATGTTTTTTCAGGTCTGTTACCACTTTTAAAATTGTGTTATGGTATGTCTCATTATTAAAATTTAAAACTTATTTTTTATATTCTGAATTCAAATTCCTTATCAAATATGTAATTTTGCAACATTGTTACGTACTCTTTGGTTGTCTTTCAAGTTCTTGATGGTAACTTTTGAAGCACAAAAAAGCGTAATGTAGACCAGCCTAATATATGTACTTATTTATCTTTTCTTGCTTGTGCATTAAATGTCATGTTTAAGAAAACTTTGCCTAACTCAAGGACACAAAAAGTTTATCTCTATATTTTCTCCTAAAACTTTTATAGTTTTAACTCTTACTTTTGTATCTATGATACATTTTGAGTTAATTTGTGTATATGGGCATGAGAAGGAAGTCCAATTTTATTTTTTAAATTATTATTATTATATTTTTTTGAGATGAAGTCTCCCTCTTGTTGCCCAGGCTGGAGTGCAATGGTGCAATCTCGGCTCACTGCAACCTCTGCCTCCTGGGTTCAAGTGATTTTCCTGCCTTGGCCCCCCGAGGAGCTGGGATTACAGGCACCTGCCACCACGTCTGGCTAATTTTTGTATTTTTAGTAGAGACAGGGTTTCACCATGTTGGCCAGGCTGGTCTTGAACTCTTGACCTCAGGCATTCTGTTTGCCTTGGCCTCCCAAATTTCTGGATGACAGGCGTGAGCCATCGCCCACTGCCAGAGCTCCAACTTGATGATTTTGCATGAGGACATCCTGTTTTCCCAGTAACAGTTGTTAAAAAGATTATCCTTTTACCCAATTAATAGTCTTGGCACTCTTATTCAAAAATCAATTGAATTATGAAATAAGCAAAGATTGTAGTGTAAGGACCTCCAAATACTGATCTTCCATGAAAGCAAGGAAAAATGCCAAAACTATCAAAAATCAACTTTTTCAGAACTCTGGAAATTATCCAAAGAATTGCAGCATTTCAGAGAATGTTAATTTTGAAAACTGCTAACTCTTAGTAATGATATAAAACTTTGTGAAGTTTTAACTCACCCAAGGACCATCCTTTACTCTCTTGCTCAGCAGTATCCATGAAAATAACAGTGTACATTCTTTGTAATGTAATGCATATAGTAGACAAAATACTTCATTCATAGAGAATTTTAATTTATACATTTTGACCCATCTGGTG